CCTGGTCTGAATACACCCTAATATAAAGTTTCACTATTTGAATGGAATTACTAGAATAGAACCCTCTAAGCTACTGGAGTGATTATTTTTCAGTCAAATTTTTACTTTTATGACTTAAAATTAATTTAATCGTCTCTATTTATAATCATTTAAAATTATTGTTTAAAAAATCGATTTAGCTTTATTAGAGTAAATTTAATTGTGGCTGGAAGAGAAGCAAATATGTTAGCCATTCTAAATGATTTGTACTTGATCCATCACACCTGCACGATAAAACTCACGTCACACTACATGTAGGACACAGCAGATGCAGCCAAGTATGAAGATTATCATTGCAGATATGCCATGTGCACCCCGAATTTGTCAACCCAATTTAATATAGTTATTAATGCCTTTAGAAATATGTTTTTTTTGTTGTTGTTTTTTTGTGTATGTGTGGGTGGGGTTGAGTTTTGCACTAAAGCTTTTCTTCAGAATGGCTTTTTAWTTTTATTTTTAAGTATTTTTCAAACCAGTACTTTTACACTTCTGCTTGAGTAAAAGGCTTGAGCTGATACTTCAACAACACAGGTCTTTTAAACCCTGAAATCTGTTTTTGACCCCTCTGACAGTTTTTTTAGTTGCTCTCCATTTCAAACATGTTTAAAGTTTAACAGCAACAGAAGCAATATAAAGTGGGACAGACACAAAAATTACAGTTTAGCAGCTCCTTTGCATTAAACAGGCTGCAATTCTCCTGTCCACAAACRACCAACAAAACAGAGTTTTTCCCAAAATGTCCACTTCAGAAAGCATTTTTTWAACCATGAACTTCATGCGTGGATGAGAGCTGCACATACAGAAGAAATGTGGAGTAGTGTAGCTGGAGCCTGAAAGGGTTTGTCACTGAGATGCACTCATGTTGCACAATTCATCTGTGTTATAAAAGAAAAAAACATCAGAACCGAGTTAAATAGCAGTTTGGACTGAGATGTTTAAAAATGTTCTAGTTTTGTGTATAGGAACTCTATGAAACGTTCAAAACTGCAGAATTACTGCTGGTACTTTCTTTGATTTCCTGCTGGATCAAATCCTCAAATCCTGTGAGGTTCTGAATACACTGAAATGAAGCTGTCAGATTATAATCTCGTCTTTGGGGTGAACTTTAATACTTTTACTATGCATCATGAATCAGACATACGAGCCCCTCTGATGGACCTGTGTTTAGCTGTGTTGCTGTTATTGTYGAACTTTGTGCTACTCTTGAGACGAGGCAGTGGAACTCACTGTTGGTGGGATTTGCAATAAGCAGTCACCATTCCCATCCTCTGTCCACTAAACTACTAACTGTGAACTCTCTCACGTGCTGAAGCATAACCAAAACCAGACGAGTTGTAGAGAGGGAGGGAACTTTTCCAACTCCTGGGACCCTGGCTTCGTGGCCCCGATCATCTGTTTTCCCCTGACGAAACTGTTGACCTGCTGTAGACGTGTCTGTGGAAACAAGATGATCAAACTGTTCATTTGCRGATTTTATTTGACTCTTCTTTTAATTATTATTGGTCATATGACACTGGACTGTTTGTGAAGGCACTTGTTTGCAGTCCTGAGAGCACACATTCTGTTGGGCAGGACGGGGACTGGACGCACTGCTGWAGAGAAGCCAAGACCTGCAAGTTTGGGACTGAATGAAAGATGGAAGGTTTTAATTGAAGTGGAAATATCTGTGTTTTCTGAGCAGAAACGGTTAACGAGGCTATCCAAAGGAAAGCGGTGCAATAGAGACAAGAACTCAAATGGGTGCCTTAAGTTTTGTGTCCACGTTGCGGGAGCAGGAGCAACGTTCATCAGCTCTCAGCTGAAAGGGTTTGGACAGTGAACCGCTGACATCAAATGCAGCCAAAGGGGAGTTTTCTTTAAATCTGGACTGTTCGTCCTCCATTAGCTGAAAGCATTTAGAGGCTCCGTTTTGGAAGCGGAGCCGCACAGATCATCGGTGTGAAGTTTCCTCATCAAACTRCTCTGCCACTCAGCGTCCACCTTTGATTCTCCACTGCCATTTGTTCTACATTCCCCTCGCGCTTGGTGGTGTGTATGTGCTGTGTTTGCATTTAGTTTAAACTGAAAACATATCTGCATAAATAAATGTCTCAACTCTGAATCCGTGTCTTTGCTTCTTGAACAAGAATTGGATGAGTTCACTTTGAACAGGTGAGGAGGAGTAAAAAGGAAATTAGAAGGTTCATTTTTACATTTTTCTGTAAAGTGTTATTTTAAAGTGCATAAATGTCTTGTGAAATTAGATAWATGGAATAGGTGAAGTAAAACACAAAACAAAACAGCCTTATAGCACCATCCTGTGGTTAAAACCATCCCTGTAAATGTGTGCAGCAGATCAAGTTATTTTTGTGCGTTTGGTGCCACCTAGTGCTTCTCTGCACCCAAAGAAGCCAAAGATTTTTAAYATCATGTATTCAACCAGTATGCAGGAAGTAAACACAGAGAAATATTGCATTATGGCTACTGTAAAATGTTAACTTGAGTAAATGTTGGTCTCTGCTCTTATTTGGAAACAATCAAGGCTTCTTTTCTCATGCCCTTCCCTTTTTCTGGCACATAAACACAGTTTAGAAATAAGCAAACTAAAAGTGATGAATTATGTAGAATAAAAAAAAATCAAAGCACATTGTAGCAGAATGCAATGATGTGACATGATATATGGAATAAAAACACCAYGGTAGAAAGATAAGCCAAGTGCAACTGAGTGACTCAGAGTTCCYATTGTTGTTTTAATAAATGACCAAACAAATTTCCTTGGTTTTCATGAAGACTAATAAAGGACTACRGGGTAGATAAAAGCACCAACTCTTTAGAAGATGTATTTACAGCGTGTAAAACAAGTATTGAACACGTCACCATTTTTCTCAGTAAATATATTACT